AAACAAGGAAAGTAAAATCTGAATAGTGATATAATGAAAAATAATGTGATGTGATAGAAAAAGGGGTGTAGTTTGGACTGGTGTGGTTAGGAAGGGACTTTTTGAAGGTAACCACTGAAATGAAAGCTGAAAACTGCAGAAGGGACAGTAAATGAAAAGGTCCTGGGGTAGGTATGAGGTTGGAATCATAAAGCAGCATAATGGTCAGCGTGGCTGACTTTTCCCAGACTCCTATTCATCCCACTTCCCACCACTCATTTATCAATTCGTTGTACTGTGGTAGTTTGCATGTTACTACGAATCTGGACGCTATGCCATGGGTATTTTAAATGCCAGCAGCCTCACCTATTATGGACAGGTTTCTGCAGAGCTTCCAGACAAAGAGAGAATAGGAAGGAGAAACAGACTACTCCTGAATAGTCACTGAAAACCTTACGAATAGCAGTGGAACACTGTCAGATAGCACCAGAATACTGAACCATGATGAAGAGCACCAGAATACTGCCAAATTAGTGTTGGAAGATGACCCCTCAGATTGGAAGCCACTCAAAATATGACTGGGGAAAAGCTGACTCCTCAAAGTACATGATGATGAGAATGGAGTAAAGCCTTTGGCACTTTTATTTGCTGATGGGGCACAATTCAAAATGAAGAGAAACAGCTGTAGCATTCATTAATAATCGAAACATGGTATGTACGAAGTACAAATCTAGGAATAATGGAAGTTGTAAAAATGAAATGCATAAACATTGATTATCTTAGGAATTAATGAGCTGAAATGGATTGGTGTTAGTCATTTTGAATTTGATAATCACATGGTTTACTATACCAGGAATGACAAACTGAAGAAGAATGGCGTCACATTCATCATTAAGCAGAACATATCAAGAGCCATCTTAAAAGTGCAACGTTATCTGTGATAGTATAATATTCATACACCTACAAGGAAGACAAAGGAGCACTGGTAGCGTAGTGGTTACGAGTCAGGCTACTAACCTTAAGGTCAACAGTTCAAAACTACCAGCCATTCTGTGGGAGAAAGATGAGGTTTTCTGCTCCCATAAAGATCTCCAGCCTCGGAGATCCTATACAGGGTCGCTATGAGTAGGAACTGACTCCACGGCACACTACCACCACCACCACAAGGAAGACCAGTTAATACCGCTGTTATTCAAAATTATGCACCAACCAATAAAGCCAGTGATAATGAAATTGAAGAATTCTACCAACTTCTTTAGTCTAAATTGATTGAACATGCAATGAAGATGTATTGATAATTACTGTGACTGGATTGCAAAGGTTGGAAACAAACAGGATGGATCAGTGTTTGGAAAGTTCTTGATCATAGAAACAATGATGGAGATCACATGATTGAATTTTGCAAGACCAATGACTTTTTCATTGCAAATACCTTTTTAAGCAGCATAAAAGACAACTATATACATGGACCTCACCAGCCGGAGGACACAGAAATCACACTGACTACATCTGTGGAAAGAGATAGTGGGAAAGCTCCATATCATCAGCGAAAATCAGGCCAGGGGCACACTGTGGAACAGACCATCAATTGCTCATATGTAAATTCAGGCTGAAGTGAAAGAAAATTAAAACAACTTCACAAAAGCAAAAATATGACCTTGAACATATCCCACCTGAATTTAAAGATCATCTAAAGAACAGATTTGATGCATTCGACAATAAAGACCAAAGACCAAAAGAGTTGTGGGATGACATCAAGAACATCATACAGGAAGAAAGCAAAAGGTCATTAAGAAGACAACAAAGAAGGTAAAGACCAAAGGATGTGAGAAGAGACTCTGAAACTTGCTCTCTAGCAGAGAGATGCTAAAACAAATGGAAGAAATGAGGAGGTATGAGAGCTGAGTAGAAAAGTTCAAAGGGCAGCTTGAGAAGACAATCACATATTATAACGAACTGTGCAAAGACCTGGAGTTAGAAAACCAAAAGGGAAGAACATGCTCAGCATTTCTCAAATGAGGGAACTGAAGAAAAAAATTCAAACCTTAACTTGCAATATTGGAAGATATTATGGGCAAAATATTATTGAATGATGCAGAAAGCATCAATAGAAAATGGAAACAATACACACAGTCACTGTATCAAAAAGAAATGGTCGATGTTCATTTCAAGAGGTAGCATATGATCAAGAGATGATGATACGGAAAGAAATCCAAGGTGCATTGAAGGCATTGGCAAAAAACAAGGCACCAAGAATTGATGGACTGCAAATTGAAATCTTTCAACAAACCTGGTCAACAGACGAGAAAAGATCCCTATTTGTACCCATTTCAAAGAGAGGTGACCCAACAGAATGTGGAAATCATTGGACAATATCATTAAACTAAATAAAATTTTGCTAAAGGTAATACAAAAACGGCTGAAACTATACACTGACAGAGAACTTCCAGAGGTTCAAGCCAGATTCAGATGAGGATGTGGAATGACGGATATATTACCCTGACGTCAGATGGATCTTAGCTGAAAGTAGAGAATACCAGAAAGCTATTTACCTGTGCTTTATTGACTATGCAAAGGCTTTTGGTTGTGTGGATCATGACCAGTTATAGATAACATTGTAGAAAATGAGTATTCCGGAACACTTAGTTGTACTCATGAGGAACCTGAACATAGACCAAGAGGCAGTCGTTCGAACAGAGCAAGGGAAACACCAAATGGTTTAAAATGAGCAAATGTGTGTGCCAGGGTTGCATTCTTTCATTTGGCTTATTCAATTTGTATGCTGATCACATAATCTGAGAAAATTGATTATTAAATGAAGAAAACATGGCATCAGGATTAGAGGAAGACTCATTAATAACCTGTGATAAGCATATGATACAACCTTGCTTGCTGAAAGCAAAAAGGACTTAAAATACTTACTGATGAAGATCAAAGACCACAGCCTTCAGTATGGGTTGCACCTCAATGTAAAGAAAACATAAACCCTCACCTCTGGACCAATAAGCAACATCCATACGAATGGAGAAAAAGCGAAGTTGTCAAAGACTTTATTTTGCTCGGATTAACCATCAACACTCTTGAAAACAGTATTCAAGAAATCAAACGATGTATTGCATTAGGCAAATCTGCTGCAGACCTCTTTAAAGTGGTGAAGAGCAAAGGTGTCAGTTTGAGGACTAAGGTGTGCCTGACCCAAATCATGGTATTTTCAATAACCTCTTATGCATGTGAATGTTGAGTGGGAATAAGGAAGACTATAGAAGAATTGATGCATTTGAGTTACGGTGTTGCAGGAGAATATTGAAAGTACCATGGACTGCCAAAAGAACAAACCAATCTGTGTTGCAAGAAGTATTGCCAGAATGCTCTTAGAAGCCAGGATAGCCAGACTTCATCTCTCATACTTCAGACATTGTCAGGAGGGACCAGTCATTGGAGAAGAATATCATGTTTGGTAGAGTGGAGGGTCGGAGAGCATGAGGAATATCCCAAAGGAGATGATGGATTGGCACAGTGGCAGCAGTAATGGCTCAAATGTATCAATGATTTTGAGATTGGAGCAGGACCAGGTAGTGTTTTGTTCTGTGGTACGTAGGGTCGCTATGAGTTGGTACTGACTCGATGGCACTGAACAATGACAAATTCATCCCACTTTATTATTTCCACCTCTATGAAGCCTTTCCAGATTGCCCCCACCCATTCACCCAACTCTCCACTCAATTCCTGTAGTCACAATTAGTCTTGACCACACTGACTACGAGTCCTTTGGAGGTAAGACCTCTTTCCATAGCTTCAGTACCAGTCCTGTTCAAGTGTGTAGCAGGCGATCAGCATCTGCTTGTTAGCTGAATCAATCAATCAATAGATAAATGAATGAATGACTGCTGTTATTATTGTTAGGTACTATTAAGTCAGTTCAGACTCACAGAGATCCTTCGTACAACAGAAGGAAACACTGCCATCCTCACAATTGTCATATTTGAGCCCATTGTTGCAGCCACTGCATCAATCCATATCCTTGAGGGTCTTTCTCTTTTCTGCGGACCCTCTGCTTTACCCACCACAATCTCCTTTTCCAGAGACTGATAACATGTCCAAAGTCCTTGAGACGAAGTCTGGCCATCCTTGTTTCTAAGGAAGACTCTGGCTATACTTCTTCCAAGAGATGTGTTCCTTCTTCTAGCAGTCCCTGATAAATTCAATGACTATCAGGCCCAAATGGCTCAGACCGTAGCTGTTTAAATGTCACCTTCTCAAATTCCCTGAATGCCTGTTCAAACTCCAAACCTTCTCTCACACACAGTACCTCCCAATCCGTTACCGTGTTCTACTTTTCCCCTTAGCACTTGCCATATGGCTGTGTGCTGCCAAGTCAGTGCCAACTCACAGCAGTCCTGTATAGTTTCTGAGGCTGCAAATCTTTACGGGAGCAGAAAACGGTCATCTTTCGCCACCGAAACAACTGGTAGATTCGAACTGTTGACTTTGCAGTTCACAGTCCAGCTCGTAATCCACTATGCTACCAGAGGTCCTCATATAACATATAATGTATGCATTTATTATATTTCTTGTTTCCTATATCTCCCCAGTCCCTCACTGACAGAATGTAATCTAGAGGCAAGGATACTCTAGTGTTTTGTCCACTAATGTATCCAAGAATTTAGAATAATGCCTGTCTCTTAAAACATGAATGAACAAATGAATGAATAAATGAATGATTAGCAGTTCTTGGATCAGAAGTCACAGTCTCAGGTGCCCGAATAGCTATCCATGGCAAGAGATGGAAGAGTTCAATGTTTATCCTTGGAACACCCAACCAGCCAACAATACTCACCCAATGGCACACTAGTCACCAGTTTGTACCTGGGCCCCACGCAGACACTCGCAGTGTGCTGACGGAGAAACTCTGACCACGTAGTTTAAGTGACCCACTGGCGCGGCACCGCTCCGTCCTTTCCTGTCCCTCTCTCAGACTCGGCTCAGAGCCACTTCTGGGAGCCTCTCGCCTGTCTTTCCCTAGTCCGGTACTCGGCGGGTGATGGAAAGGGCGTGAACACCTGGGTCCTAGGAGTAGCCTAGACAGGGACTCCTACTGCTCCTCCTCGGATCCCGCGCCGCGCCCCCGCCCTTGCCCTTCCCTGATTGCGCTGTCAGTCCCCATTAGCGCTAACAGGCTCCAGACGGAGCGGGTCGGGCGCTGGGTTAATGCAATCGGCGCGTTACCTGGGGCGAAGGCTACATTACCAGGCGGCCCCCGCCTGGCGCGGCCAAAGCCTTTCAGCCCGCGCCGCCGCCGGACTCCCTGCGCCGCCAGCGCTCTCCCGGCTGCGCCCGAGCGCCACGCGGGGGAGCCCAGCCCCAACCTGCGCCCCAGAGCTTGCCCAGGCGCGGCGGGTCCGGGGCAGGCAGGGCGCACAGCACTTGGGATCTCCTCTCTGCAGGACACGTGAGTGCGCCCTGCGCGCAGAACCCGACTAGAAGTGCCAGTGAGTTTGACGTGTAGAGCCTTAAGTGTCCGGGGAGGCTCTGTGGGCTGTGAAGGTAGCGCAGATTCGAGTTGGGGATGATCACGAGGGAATCCTCAGCCTCGGCGAGTCCAAACCCCGCCGTTTGGGGGCGGAGGAGAGCGGGGTAAAGAGAGAAAGTACTACGGGTGTCCAGCCCGGCGGTCTCCCTCTCTGAGTTCTGCCCCACTTGGGCGAACCACAACTCCGTTTCCGAAAATTTCCTAGAGACTAGGGACTCTTTCGCGACCCCCGAAGCCTCTCAGCGCGTGCTCCCCAGTGTTCCCGGTGTTTTCCGAAGGTCTCGGGAGGCGCAGGGAGGGCGGAACTGTCCCGGTGACCACCTCTTTTCCTTTTATCCAAGCAGACTTCAGCGTCCCCAGTCTTGCTCAAGCCCCTCTCGCCAACCGCACTCATGCTTCTGGCGCGGATGAACCCGCAGGTGCAGCCGGAGAGCAGCGGCTTGGATCCCGGTCCGGACAAGCCCCTGCGGGCGCGCAAAACGGCGGAACTAGTGGTAGTGAAAGAACGCAACGGCGTCCAATGCGTCCTAGCGCCCCACGGCGGCGACGCGCAGCCCCGGGAGACGTGGGGCAAGAAGATCGACTTCTTGCTGTCGGTGGTCGGCTTTGCGGTAGACCTGGCTAACGTGTGGCGCTTCCCCTACCTCTGCTACAAGAACGGCGGCGGTGAGCGTTGGGACGGGCTGGGGGGTTTGAACTTGGAAAGCTACCGGTCCGTGGCGGTGGCAAGGACAGGAAGTAGGGAGCACGAAGGAGGGTAAGAGGGTTGCACCCACACAAGTCAGGGGCACACACAGAGACTGGCAGGACTCATGGAAAAATATTTCTGGGAGCAGAGCAGAGATGAGGTAAGACCGTGGACGGCCTAGGTGGAAATACACGGTTGAGTTTTTCATGGTCTGCAAGAAGAGAGTTGGAGATTTTGGAGATCACTTGAAGGAGAGAGGCGATGACAATCAGGGACACAAAACCCTAAATCTGCTGGCACTTGGCTGCCCTGTTAGGATAGCAGAATCCAGGGCAGAGTCACAAATCGAGAACTCCACTGTCAGTTGGCACTTGTGCCCATCGAGGGGTCTACATGGGACTGGGTCAATGGGTCCTTCTGGTGGGTCTTGCGCATCCAGTGGTAGCAGTCAAATTGAAGGGTGGAGTGGGAAAGGGGCCTGGAGAAGACTCCAATGGAACAACCCGCCCACAATCTGCCCTTGCTGTGAGATCACCCACACTTCAGCTCTGGGTCCTAGGCCCTAGCTGCTTCCTGAGGGGTATGATCCAGAGGGGCTGCTTTTTCTTATATGGATTTAAGGGTGCTCTGCAGAGAACCTGGGGAAATGTCTTTTAGAGAACAGGGTTGTAAAAGGATGCCCAGTCTGGAAACCTCTCTCTATCCACTGTTCCAACCTTCCTGGCAGTGGTGGTGGTGTGCCCTGGAGTTGGTTCTGACTCAGAGCGACCCTGTACAGGGTTTCCAAGGCTGTAATTCTTTACGGAAGCAGTAAGCCTTATCTTGCTACCTGGCAGTAGCTCTGACTTAAAACTTAGAGAAGTCAGAGGCGGGTGGGAGGGAGGATGAGGGTTTGGAGCTGGACAAAGGGACAGCTGATGACCTTGTCCTAGAGCCTCATAGCTGTCTAGTTGGATGTGTACTCTAGACACTTACTTTGGGATGGGTAATGCCTGGTGCTTGCAAAAGGAACAGATGGCTCCAAGAAGAGACTGCTTTTAGCTCTCCCTCAGAGAAGACTAGTCCTTTAGGATTCTCTTAGATCCCAGGTTGGAGCCAACAGATAAAGGCTTTATTTGCATCATCTATTTCGGTACCTCCCAAGACTGATCAGCCACTGTCAGCATATGAGACAAGGAGGCTGGGCAACATAGTCTGGGGTCAGTGGCTGAATCCTGAAGGCCCTTGCTCATCTGCAGCCCAACATGGACACAGGCAGAGAGAGAAAGCTGAGACACATACCATCCAGAGGTGATGGTGCCACGTTTGGCACCTGCAGTTTCTCCAGGGTCTCTGGACCCGAGGAGGGAGGAAACGCAGATTCCAGTTATTTTGAGTAGACAGGGAGATGATGAATGTCAGACAGACAAGAAACCCTAAGACGCTTCATGCAGCATGTCCTTAGTGATCGCCCCATACAGCTGAGCACACTTTCATTAACCAGCAATATTTATCTGGCTCCTCTCTGTGTGAGGGACCAGGCTTACTAAGATGTATGAAGCACTGCTTCTGCCTGCCAAGAGTGCTAATCTCCTATAGATTCTCATTGTCATGCAGCCATGGGTCACTTCCATTGTAATAAAGTGCTGGCTGAAATAAAAAGCACCTCAGGTGGCTGATCCGCACATCCACGCACATCCACGCACATCCACGCACATCCACG